GGGAAGCTGCTGGGCATGGTGGCCAGGTGGCTGTGTGGGGCCAGGAAGCTGAAGAAGGCCTGATGGGGATATAATGTTGATAGTTGTCTCAGGACCCACTGGTTGTACAAGGCTTCCAACAAACACAGGACACTGATGGTGTCTTCCCCATATTGGCACTTTAGGGTGGAACACAAATATCTCCTCATTATAATCTGCCTCTGCTTAGAAATTCTTATGAAGTAATCTTGGGATCTTTTTTAAAATTGTAGTAAAATTTATATTATGTAAAATTTACCATTTTAGCCACTAAGTGTACAGTCGTTGGCATTAAGCACATTGATGTTATCATGCAAACCTCACTACCATTCATTCCAGAACTGTTTTCATCATCCCAAATTCAAACTCCATGCTAATCAAACAGTAAATACTCATAACCCTGCCCCCACCCCCATGACCCCACAGGCTCCTGCCAACACCCATTCTACTCTCTGTGTCTGTGAATTTTATCTTGGCTTCTTGACTTGCCCCTCATCAATGGCCTCCTCACTCAGATCCAGGCCTTCATCCGACAGCCCTGCTTTCCTCCCCATTCCACAGGGCCCTGCTTACTTCACTGTTGCTCTCTGGACACTTTTCTCTCTCTGATCTTTCTCTATCCTCACTTTTTATGGCATGACATAAGATCTTGGCCAGTTGTTCCAGTTTGGGTCTCTTTCCTCTTGTGTCTCCTTCTCACCTCACGCCCAAGCTCAGGAAGCCTCTCCTCTGTCTGTCCTGCAGTTAGGCAGGGGCGGCCCTCCCTGGACTCCACTTGTGGTCTCTGTGCTGAGTCTCCTCCTATGAAGAGCATCTCCTTTGCTCTCAGACCTGGAGCCTGCCTTTCGGCCACAGCTGATGCTGTGTTTTTCACTTGTCACAATTACCTTCTCATTTCTCACTCTTAAAAATGTAGTCATGGTGACCTCAAGTCAGATCCCAGACCTCTGTGTGAGGCTCTGGGGCCCAGGCCCAGTGACCATGGCCATTCCCAGGACTTTGTTGATTTAGGAAACATCTTTCTGCCACCCTACTGTGGCATAAATAGGAAGTAACTCACTATGTATAGCAATTACATTCAGTTCCTAGCAACATACACCAGAAAAAGAGTGTATTAACCACCAGGGTTATTTTTTGTTTTCTTGTTTGCTTCTTTGATAAGGACTGGTGTGGTGGCTCCATCATATTGTCTGTAGATTTTGCTCCATTTTTTTTTGACTTTTTGATATTCTTTACTAGACATCAGGCTCCCACTCTGGTAGGTTCCCTTTATAATATATTTTACTTTCAAGTGATTATGTGCTGATATTTGCTTTTGCATTTACAGATGGAATTATATTTCTCCTTCAAAGTTTCAAATGTATGCTATCTTGTGGGTTATAACACAGTGACGAAAATAGTAGATATGCAGGATGGTCCCAGAAACCATAGTTTGACTGCTTAATTCTGGGGTTGTGCCCACATCTTGAAATAATTCAAATAGAGGATGAAGCAGCTGCTACCAATACTTCTTGCAGATGTGGAAAGAGGCCCATCCTTACCAAGGTCAGGATAGGATTTTCTGGGTAGAATGTGAAGTGGTGCCAGGTGTCTACCGAGTCCTGTGAGTTCTCATGCTGCACGATGTCACTTATAGTCCCAAGCACATCACATGAGGATGTGTGTGTGTGTGTGTGTGTGTGTGTGTCCGTTATTCAAGGTTTAATTTTTGTAATTCTTTTAAAAAAGTGTTTATTTATTTATTTTGAGAGAGAGAGAATATGAGCGAGCAGGGGAGGGGTAGAGAGAGGGAGGGAGAGAGAGAATCCTGAGCAGGCTGTGTGCTGTCAGTGCAGAGCCCAACCTAGGGCTCAATTTCATGAATTGTTAGATCATGACCTGAGCTGAAATCAAGAGTCAGATGCTCAACCGATTGAGTCACTCAGGTGCCCCTATTTCTGTAATTATTATGAATGAAATCTCTAAAATTTGTCTTTGGCAATAGTGCCTTGAAAGGCAGACCTGAAGCTTTTTCTGTGTTGTGATTAGAAAGAAAAGCCAAGATTTCTTACCTTCATAATCAACAAACGGATATAAGGATCAGACTTTCAGATGCTGATTCCCTTTTCCATTCCTACCACATCATCATCTTTGAACACTTGTAACTCAGTGATGCCAACTCTCTGCCTGCTGCTTCCTGGGCTCTGCTTTCATCCAGCACATCTGATCAAAGGAAGCCGTGAGTGGGGATGATGCCTCTAGTCTGGATCCATTGAAACCTTCTCCACTGGACTGTGTCAGCATGGTCTTGACAGTATGGACATCTGATCTCATCATTTCCTGGTTAAGATCCTTTCCTGGCTCTCATTACATGTAATACAAGCCCTCTGTGGTTTGTGTCTGGCTACCACTCCAGGAGCATCTTGAAATTTGGAAATAGACCCACGCAGACATGTTTACTTGATTTATGACAAATCTCTTCAGCAAATTTTACTGGAATAACTGATATCTGAATGGTCTTTGATTTTTACTTAATGGCACACACAGAAAAACATTGACTGTTACTGCATACCATACAGTATGCAAAGTAAGACATTTGATAAATTGGACTTTATCAAAATGAACAACCTTCACTCTTCTAGAGACATGCGTAAGAAGACAAAAATATAAGCCATAAACTGGGAGAAAATATTGCAACACATTTCTCAGAGAACTTGTATCTAGAATATTCAAACAAATCTTACAACCAGTACAAACATGGACAAAAAAGCTTGACCAGACACTTCACAAAAGAAAATATGCAAATGGCCAATAATCACATGAAAAAGTGGATATAGCAGTCATTTAGAGAAATGCAAAATAAAACCTCAATATCACAACACATCTACCAGGCCGGCTAAAATTAATAGGACTGATCATATCAATAGTGAGCAAGAAGACAGAGCTACTGGAACTCATACCCGTTCCATTGCTGAGGAGAACGTGAAATGGTGCAGCCACATAGGAAAATCGCTCTGTAGTTTCTCAGTTAAGCATATACTTGCCACATGACCCAGCATTACTTCTAGGTATTTACTTAAGTTCATGAAAAGATATGTCCACTTGAAAGTCTATACACAAATGTTCATAGCAGCTTTATTTATAATGGCCCCAGATTAAGAAAAATTACATGCCCATCAATAGGTGAATGAAATGACATTGTGTTGTATCCATGTAATGAAGTTTATTTATTCATTTTGAGAGAGAGACAGAGCACAGGTGAGGGGCAGAGATGAGAATCCAAACGCTGGAAGGACAGAACAAGAGATGAGCCTCAATCCCATCAACTGTGTGATCATGACCTGAGTGCTTAACAGACTGAGCTACCCAGGCACCCCTGTATGAGATGTGTTTTTAAGTGTCTTCCTCTTGTGTACTTTAAAATGTAGTGTTCACCAATTATTGTTGCATTACATATAATTGGAAATGCAAATACATTTTAATTTCTAGAATAATAGAACTAGTACAATTTTGATGAAGGAGGAGAGATGTGTGTATAAGAAATGGAGTTACTTCTTAGAGAATCAGAGGACTAATGGTAAACAGACTAAGGAAGGAATCAAGTTCACATACTCAGACCTAATCCAAATTTATTTTGTGTGTGAGACCTGTAGTCTCTCTGTAATTATAAAATAACACATTCAGAAATGATAAAAACAGGCAAAATATTTAATTTGTTGACATCTAATGGGCATGGAACATGACACACATGAAGAATCTACATATAAAATGCATATATTTGGAGGTATGTGTTAGAATGTCAAAATGAAGTTCAATCTGTCATTTATG